CAAGTTGCCCTTTTGTCAGGTATATGTCTTCCCAAGGTCCAAAAGAAGAACTTCTAGGATTGCTACCACTCTCGGGACAAACTAGACGGGAAGATATAGCGAATGCCATGCAAAAATGCTTTGAAGACAATAAGATCGATTTAAATAAAATCGTTTCAATAGCAACTGATGGAGTCAGAAGTATGACAGGAGAAAATAAAGGGGCAACAACGATTCTTCAGAGCAAAATAAACTACGAAATTCTTACGTTTCACTACATAATACACCAAGAAGCGCTTTGTGCCCAAACATTTCTGGCCGAAGTAGTTGAGGTCATGAATTTGGTAATCAAGATTGTTAACAGCATCTTGTCAAAAGCACTCTACCATCGTCAGTTTAAAAAATTCTTAAACGAAATGGAGACTCAGTATTCCGACCTCCTTCTTCCGAAGGTAAGGTGTTGAAATGTTTTGTTTTGTGCTTGAATGAAATAAATACATTCCTAAGTAAAAAAGGCATTAATCACCCTGAGTTAGAGAACGGCAAATGGTTGCTTTATGGTGGATATCACAGCGAAATTAAATGAGCTGAATCTAAAACTGCAAGGAAAGGGAAACCCAGACTATGTTTCGGTAGAAGAATTGGTTTGTTTTGAAGAAAAATTAATTCTTTTTGCAGAAGATATTCAGAGCGGTATATTACTTCATTTTCAATTTCTAAAGCAATATTGTGATAAAACTAGTGCAACTGTTGACACGAGGTACTTCGGCACAGTTATAAAAAAAAATTAAAGATGAATTTGCTGATAGATTTGAGCAATTCAAAACCAACAAAACCACTCTAGCATTCATAGTAAATACTCTCAACACAAATAGTAGCGAAATCCACATTGAGCCATTTGGAATTGATACTGGATCTCTGGAAATGCAATTGATCGATTTAAAAAGTAAAGCTTTGTGGAGTGGCAAATTTACAGAGTTGAAAAGCAAGTTGGAAGAGTTGGAGGTCCAGAAATGTATGTACGTAACGCAACAAAAGTGGACAACTTTAAAAGAAATGCCGCGAGTTGAGGCACTTATATTCGACGCATGGAATGGTCTTCCAGATTGCTACAGTGAGGTGAAGAAGTTGGCATTTGGAGTGCTGACTATCTTCGGACAGACATATTCGTGCGAGCAAGCGTGCTCTCGCATGAATATAATTAAAAGTAAAGTAAGAAGCCAACTAACAAATGAAAATTTAGAGGCATGTTTGAAACTTAAAGTAACAAGTTTTGAGCCAAATTTATCTAAACTTTCTAAAACCATGCAAAGCCAATGCTCCCATTGAATTTGATTGCTCAAATGAATGTTATTGTTTTTTTTTTAATTTTAAATACAAATAACATTGTTTAGTAAAGTTTAGATTTTCTACTTGAATGACCATGCAAAGCCATCGCTCCCATTGAATTTGTTTGTCCAATTGTTTGTTATTGAAGTACAAGTTAGTGTTGTAAGTAAACGTTTGTTTTAATTTTTTACTTAAATAATAAGTAATTATCTAATAATGAATAAATAGAATGATGTAATGAACAAATAGATATGTTTTCTTATGAATAAATAGATTAGTTTTTTTTTTATTAAAAAACTTTATTTATGCGAGTACTAACAAGTGGGCTAGTATTATTAAATCGGCCCTACTAGTATTAAATCCATATGATTTTTAGTTAGCCCTAACCTTCAAAAGACACGTATATAAATTTGACAGCTGTTGCACTATTAGTAAGTGAGTTATAGCATTTTTAGAAAAGCACTTTTAGTTAGTTTGGAAAAATGGATAAAAAGGAATTTCATGTGTTAATAAAGCATTTCTTTTTGGCGAAAAAATACTATTGAAGCCAAGGCTTGGCTTGATAAACATTATTCGGACTTTGCACCCGGAAAATCAACCGTAGAGAAGGGGTTTGCTAAATTTAAACTAGGCGAAATGAGCACCGAGGATGATGCACGCAGTGGACGCCCCAAAGAGGCTGTTACCGACGAAAACATCAAAAAAAGTCCACAAAACAATTTCTGATAACTGTAAAGTGAAGTTGATTGAGATAGCTGAGACCCTAAAGATATCAAAGGAACGTGTTGGACATATCGTGAATGAATATTTGGATATGCAAAAGCTCTGTTCAAAGTGGGTGCCGTGCGAGCTCACAATCGACCAAAAACAACAACCAATTGAGGATTCTAAGCAGTGTTTGGAGCTGTTCAATCGTAATAAACCCGAATTTTTGAGTCGATATGTGACAATGGATTAAACATGTCTCCATCATTTCACACCTGAGTCCAATCGACAGTCAGCCGAGTGGACTGCACGTGATGAACACTAAAAATGCTATAACTTCATTAAAAATGCTATAACTCACATACTAATAGCGCAACAGCTATCAAATTTATACACGTGTCTTTTGAAGGTTAGGGCTAACTAAAAATCATATAAATTTAATACTAGTAGCGCCATCTATGTGTCAGCCTATGAACTTTTCATCCCACCTGTTATTTATTGTTGGCAAGAAAAAATTTTGTGTCTCTTTAAAACTTTGAAATTTTGTAAATTGCCATTTTAGGTTCTTCCGAATCAAAAGGTTGCCGACCCCTGTTGTACGATCCTATTAGACCGGAACCTACGGTTTAAAGGGGATTCCGAATCAGTACAGACACCCATGGCTCCACGGAATTCGACCCGAAACCTGTGGCACCGAACGCTAGTCACTCGGCCATCAGGGCCCAGAAGTAAATATAGCTATATAAAATTCAACATTTCAACTTTCCAACTTCTTTTCCCTATTAATAGTTACATTTGGATGGTGCAGGATCACACACTTAAAATTTTGAGAGTTTCGTCCAATTTCTAACAAAAAAGACAAAATAAAAATGCATCCTATGTACTTGAATGCGGTTTAAAGTTGGACAGTTTTGAAACTATAATTGAATGGCGGATATTTTCTTGCTAAATCAAATGGCCGAATACAAATGAATGTAATATGTTGCTTTATTCTCACATTCGGAACTCGTATCTCAATGGACGGAATAATGGTTTTCTATCTGATTTTACCTACAAAATTTTTAATGATTCTGAAAACATACTTGTGTGCAGTGGCATTCACTAACACCGAAGACCTACATAAAATATAGCATTTCCAACTTCTATTAAAGGATATATTAGAAAAGGGCAAGATCACACTGTTATAATGTTGAAAGTTTCGTAGAATTTCTAACAAAAAAAATGAGGGATACTTTAAATACAGTTTAAAGTGGGATAGTTTTGAAACTATAATTGAATGACGGAGATTTTCTAAAATCAAATGGTCTGCAAGACAATCTAATCTAAAATCTGCGAAACTAAATGATCTGCTAAATCAAATGGCAAAATTCCAATGAAAGTAATCCATCGCTTTATTCTCACATTCGGAACTCGTATCTCAATAGACGAAACGATCGTTTTCCTTTCAGAAAGTTCGCATTACTGTTTCCACAGACACGAAGAAAATATCAATTAAATGCCTTTTTATTTTGGTTTAATATAATTTCAATCCAACACGTCTACGTGATGTAACTCCAATGTAAAAGCAGCAACTTTGGCTCTGTGGTCGTGTTTAATAAGCCATCGTCCTTCTCGAATAAATAAACGACCACACATGTTAAATCGGAACCATTCCTGCGGATTAATTCTTGCAGCGAGTGATAGAGAATATAAATTGAGTGTATTGAGAAATGACAGAGCATCGCTAAAATTTTGGAAAGACGGAGTAAAGCTTCCGAAATGTATTGAAACCAGATATGCAGAAACGAGAGTTTAACAAACTCAACAGAACTTGACAGTTAGACTAACATTTAGTTAGCTGTGATTCAAAGAACTTTTGCCCATGGAACATTTACCTCATTTAGCTTTCAATAAATTGCAGTCTGCTTAATAACGAAAAAATAATGATTGGATAATAAATTATGAATAAAAAATGAATCTTTTTGAAGTGTAGGATGATTATAATTAAAGTCCCTCTTTCAAAAAAAAAAGAACCACTCGTTATAATGAGTGCATTCATTATGACAAGTGAACTGAAGATACTTGGAGAAGGGGGAAACGGTACACCATCAAAAAGGTTCCAAAGTGTAATAATATATGGCATTGTAAGCGGCGCACAGAAAGAGAATTCGGCTGCCTGTAATATTTTAAATCGAAAGTACAACGTATTTGGCATGAGTTGTACATTAAACCAACTGAAGTGACGGAAAAAAAGACCGAAACAATTTTTGATGGAGAAAATAACTTCCAAGTGATTCCACAATTGTCACAATGATAATAGAAAACCCATCCACCACGGCAAAATCATACCACATTGGATGGGAAGAATAGGTGCAACTTCTTTCTGATGCCATAAGGTTTCCCCATTCATCAAATATCTTCAGTTTCAAATTGAACTCATTCTGATGAGTGTTTCTCTTTTTATAACATTTTTAAAGTGGAACTTTAATTATAATCGCCCTGTATAAGGCGTTTATAATCAGAAATAAAGATTGTTTAATTATACTGACAAAAAGAAGCCTATTGTTATTCATTTTTATTTCTAATCTATTTCAGTTATCATTAGTAGTAGAATGAGGGGAAAATTTATTACTCTAAAATTTAGTCTGTAAATGAAAATCAATAGCATTTTAAAATATATAACGCAAAAAAGGCGAGGATTGCGATTTATATCCTTTAATGTGACATTAAAAAATTCAGCCTAACGGATGTAATTTTAATTTAGGAATTATGTTACATCAATATTGGAATATATCAAACTAAAGCTTCTTCAACATGGGGGTGTAGCTCAGTGGTAGTGCGTTCGCTTCGCATGCGAAATGTCCCGTGTTCAATCCCCGGCGGCTCCACGAGGAAAACTTTTCTTTTACAAACGCGTCTTGTGATGCCAATTAAAATGTCACGAATTTCGAATTGAGAATTCGGTTACATCAATATTAGAATATATCAAACTGAAGCTGCTTCGACATGGGGGTGTAGCTCAGTGGTAGAGCGTTCGCTTCGCATGCGAAATGTCCCGTGTTCAATCCCCGGCACCTCCACGAGGAAAACTTTTTTTTTTTTTTTTACAAACGCGTCTTGTGATGCCAATTAAAATGTCACGAATTTCAAATTGAGAATTCTGTTACATCGATATTAGAATATATCAAACTGAAGCTGCTTCGACATGGGGGTGTAGCTCAGTGGTAGAGCGTTCGCTTCGCATGCGAAATGTCCCGTGTTCAATCCCCGGCGCCTCCACGAGGAAAACTTTTCTTTTACAAACGCGTCTTGTGATGCCAATTAAAATGTCACGAATTTCGAATTGAGAATTCTGTTACATCGATATTAGAATATATCAAACTGAAGCTGCTTCGACATGGGGGTGTAGCTCAGTGGTAGAGCGTTCGCTTCGCATGCGAAATGTCCCGTGTTCAATCCCCGGCGCCTCCACGAGTAAAACTTTTCTTTTACAAACGCGTCTTGTGATGCCAATTAAAATGTCACGAATTTCAAATTGAGAATTCGGTTACATCAATATTAGAATATATTAAACTGAAGCTGCTTCGACATGGGGTGTAGCTCAGTGGTAGAGCGTTCGCTTCGCATGCGAAATGTCCCGTGTTCAATCCCCGGCACCTCCACGAGGAAAAACTTTTTTTTTTTTTTTACAAACGCGTCTTGTGATGCCAATTAAAATGTCACGAATTTCAAATTGAGAATTCTGTTACATCAATATTAGAATATATCAAACTGAAGCTGCTTCGACATGGGGGTGTAGCTCAGTGGTAGAGCGTTCGCTTCGCATGCGAAATGTCCCGTGTTCAATCCCCGGCGCCTCCACGAGGAAAAACTTTTTTTTTACAAACGCGTCTTGTGATGCCAATTAAAATGTCACGAATTTCAAATTGAGAATTCTGTTACATCGATATTAGAATATATCAAACTGAAGCTGCTTCGACATGGGGGTGTAGCTCAGTGGTAGAGCGTTCGCTTCGCATGCGAAATGTCCCGTGTTCAATCCCCGGCGCCTCCACGAGGAAAACTTTTCTTTTACAAACGCGTCTTGTAATGCCAATTAAAATTCACGAATTTCCAGTTGAGAATTCGGTTACATCAATATTAGAATATATCAAACTGAAGCTGCTTCGACATGGGGGTGTAGCTCAGTGGTAGAGCGTTCGCTTCGCATGCGAAATGTCCCGTGTTCAATCCCCGGCACCTCCACGAGGAAAAACTTTTTTTTTACAAACGCGTCTTGTGATGCCAATTAAAATGTCACGAATTTCAAATTGAGAATTCTGTTACATCAATATTAGAATATATCAAACTGAAGCTGCTTCGACATGGGGGTGTAGCTCAGTGGTAGAGCGTTCGCTTCGCATGCGAAATGTCCCGTGTTCAATCCCCGGCGCCTCCACGAGAAAAACTTTTCTTTTACAAACGCGTCTTGTGATGCCAATTAAAATGTCTCGAATTTCAAATTGAGAATTCTGTTACATCGATATTAGAATATATCAAACTGAAGCTGCTTCGACATGGGGGTGTAGCTCAGTGGTAGAGCGTTCGCTTCGCATGCGAAATGTCCCGTGTTCAATCCCCGGCGCCTCCACGAGGAAAACTTTTCTTTTACAAACGCGTCTTGTGATGCCAATTAAAATGTCACGAATTTCAAATTGAGAATTCTGTTACATCAATATTAGAATATATCAAACTGAAGCTGCTTCGACATGGGGGTGTAGCTCAGTGGTAGAGCGTTCGCTTCGCATGCGAAATGTCCCGTGTTCAATCCCCGGCACCTCCACGAGGAAAAACTTTTTTTTTTTTTTTTTTTTACAAACGCGTCTTGTGATGCCAATTAAAATGTCACGAATTTCAAATTGAGAATTCTGTTACATCGATATTAGAATATATCAAACTGAAGCTGCTTCGACATGGGGGTGTAGCTCAGTGGTAGAGCGTTCGCTTCGCATGCGAAATGTCCCGTGTTCAATCCCCGGCACCTCCACGAGGAAAAATATTTTTTTTTTTTTTTTTTTTTTTTTTACAAACGCGTCTTGTGATGCCAATTAAAATGTCACGAATTTTAAATTGAGAATTCTGTTACATCGATATTAGAATATATCAAACTGAAGCTGCTTCAACATGGGGGTGTAGCTCAGTGGTAGAGCGTTCGCTTCGCATGCGAAATGTCCCGTGTTCAATCCCCGGCACCTCCACGAGGAAAAACTTTTTTTTTACAAACGCGTCTTGTGATGCCAATTAAAATGTCACGAATTTCAAATTGAGAATTCTGTTACATCAATATTAGAATATATCAAACTGAAGCTGCTTCGACATGGGGGTGTAGCTCAGTGGTAGAGCGTTCGCTTCGCATGCGAAATGTCCCGTGTTCAATCCCCGGCGCCTCCACGAGGAAAACTTTTTTTTACAAACGCGTCTTGTGATGCCAATTAAAATGTCACGAATTTCAAATTGAGAATTCTGTTACATCAATATTAGAATATATCAAACTGAAGCTGCTTCGACATGGGGGTGTAGCTCAGTGGTAGAGCGTTCGCTTCGCATGCGAAATGTCCCGTGTTCAATCCCCGGCGCCTCCACGAGGAAAACTTTTCTTTTACAAACGCGTCTTGTGATGCCAATTAAAATGTCACGAATTTCAAATTGAGAATTCTGTTACATCGATATTAGAATATATCAAACTGAAGCTGCTTCGACATGGGGGTGTAGCTCAGTGGTAGAGCGTTCGCTTCGCATGCGAAATGTCCCGTGTTCAATCCCCGGCGCCTCCACGAGGAAAACTTTTCTTTTACAAACGCGTCTTGTGATGCCAATTAAAATGTCACGAATTTCAAATTGAGAATTCTGTTACATCAATATTAGAATATATCAAACTGAAGCTGCTTCAACATGGGGGTGTAGCTCAGTGGTAGAGCGTTCGCTTCGCATGCGAAATGTCCCGTGTTCAATCCCCGGCACCTCCACGAGGAAAAACTTTTTTTTTTTTTTTACAAACGCGTCTTGTGATGCCAATTAAAATGTCACAAATTTTAAATTGAGAATTCTGTTACATCAATATTAGAATATATCAAACTGAAACTGCTTCAACATGGGGGTGTAGCTCAGTGGTAGAGCGTTCGCTTCGCATGCGAAATGTCCCGTGTTCAATCCCCGGCACCTCCACGAGGAAAAACTTTTTTTTTATTACGCGTCTTGTGATGCCAATTAAAATGTCACAAATTTGAAATTGAGAATTCTGTTACATCAATATTAGAATATATCAAACTGAAACTGCTTCAACATGGGGGTGTAGCTCAGTGGTAGAGCGTTCGCTTCGCATGCGAAATGTCCCGTGTTCAATCCCCGGCACCTCCACGAGGAAAAACTTTTTTTTTTTTACAAACGCGTCTTGTGATGCCAATTAAAATGTCACAAATTTTAAATTAGAATTCTGTTATATCAATATTAGAATATATCAAACTGAAACTGCTTCAACATGGGGTGTAGCTCAGAGGTAGAGCGTTCGCTTCGCATGCGAAATGTCCCGTGTTCAATCCCCGGCACCTCCACGAGAAAAACTTTTTTTTACAAACGCGTCTTGTGATGCCAATTAAAATGTCACGAATTTCAAATTGAGAATTCTGTTACATCGATATTAGAATATATCAAACTGAAGCTGCTTCAACATGGGGGTGTAGCTCAGTGGTAGAGCGTTCGCTTCGCATGCGAAATGTCCCGTGTTCAATCCCCGGCACCTCCACGAGGAAAACTTTTTTTTTTTTTTTTTTTACAAACGCGTCTTGTGATGCCAATTAAAATGTCACGAATTTCAAATTGAGAATTCTGTTACATCGATATTAGAATATATCAAACTGAAGCTGCTTCAACATGGGGGTGTAGCTCAGTGGTAGAGCGTTCGCTTCGCATGCGAAATGTCCCGTGTTCAATCCCCGGCACCTCCACGAGGAAAATTTTTTTTTTTTTTTTTTTTACAAACGCGTCTTGTGATGCCAATTAAAATGTCACAAATTTCAAATTGAGAATTCTGTTACATCAATATTAGAATATATCAAACTGAAGCTGCTTCGACATGGGGGTGTAGCTCAGTGGTAGAGCGTTCGCTTCGCATGCGAAATGTCCCGTGTTCAATCCCCGGCGCCTCCACGAGGAAAACTTTTCTTTTACAAACGCGTCTTCTGATGCCAATTAAAATGTCAATTTCAAATTGAGAATTCTGTTACATCAATATTAGAATATATCAAACTGAAGCTGCTTCGACATGGGGGTGTAGCTCAGTGGTAGAGCGTTCGCTTCGCATGCGAAATGTCCCGTGTTCAATCCCCGGCACCTCCACGAGGAAAACTTTTTTTTTTTTTTACAAACGCGTCTTGTGATGCCAATTAAAATGTCACAAATTTTAAATTGAGAATTCTGTTATATCAATATTAGAATATATCAAACTGAAACTGCTTCAACATGGGGGTGTAGCTCAGTGGTAGAGCGTTCGCTTCGCATGCGAAATGTCCCGTGTTCAATCCCCGGCACCTCCACGAGGAAAAACTTTTTTTTTTTTTTTTTTTTTTTACATACGCGTCTTGTGATGCCAATTAAAATGTCACAAATTTTAAATTAGAATTCTGTTATATCAATATTAGAATATATCAAACTGAAACTGCTTCAACATGGGGGTGTAGCTCAGTGGTAGAGCGTTCGCTTCGCATGCGAAATGTCCCGTGTTCAATCCCCGGCACCTCCACGAGGAAAAAACTTTTTTTTTTTTTTTTACAAACGCGTCTTGTGATGCCAATTAAAATGTCACAAATTTTAAATTGAGAATTCTGTTACATCAATATTAGAATATATCAAACTGAAACTGCTTCAACATGGGGGTGTAGCTCAGTGGTAGAGCGTTCGCTTCGCATGCGAAATGTCCCGTGTTCAATCCCCGGCACCTCCACGAGAAAAACTTTTTTTTTTTTTTTTACAAACGCGTCTTGTGATGCCAATTAAAATGTCACGAATTTTCAAATTGAGAATTCTGTTACATCAATATTAGAAT